TCATATAATAATTATATAATACATTCATATTTAATAACACAATCGTCTTAAAATTTTTTAGATGATACGATGTGAAATTAATAAATAAAATCCATAAAATTTTTTCACTTAAGTCAAAAGATAGAATGAAATAGAATAGCATCTTTTTTTTGTTAATATTAGGTTTAGTTCTCTTATAAAGTAATTCGAAAAATATTTTTAGCAAACTGTTGTCCAAGCTCATGTTAATAATGTAATGGTAATAGCTCAAATTGTGATATTTGTAAACCAGGTTTCTATTTGATTGATAAAAATTGTTACTAATGTACTAAGCCATGCTCAACCTGTTCAACAAGTGTTACAGCCTGCTCTGCATGTGTTGATAGTGCAAATTAAGTTATTCCCACTTGTGCATGCAATAGTGGATTTAAATGAATACATCAACATATTTTTGTGAAAGTTGTCCAAGTAATTGTAAAGTGTGTAGTACTTCAACTATATGTACTTAGTGTAATGATACTTATTGGTTAAATGGCAACTCGTGCAGTCCATGTACAAAACCATGTTTAAATTGTTCAATGAATGATAGTAATTGTAGTACTTGTGTTGATACTGCAAAACAAACACCATCTTTATGTAATTGTGCATCAGGTTATATAATTAATACTGCAAATTACTTATGCGTTTAATGTTAATTTCCATGTGCTACTTGTTAAACAACAGTAAATTATTGCTAAACATGTGCAATAACATATACAATTGATTTAAGTACTCATACATGTTCATGATTAAATACTCAATTTGAATTAAATGGTATAGTTATTATTAATTAAACAGATATAATCAATCAATTAAAGATAGAATATACAACTAAAACATGTCAAAATTGTGCAAGTCCATGTTAAACTTGTACATCATCTGCAACTAATTGTGGTTCTTGCTTAGATGGGTTGCATAGACACATATCAACTAATTAATGTGTTTGTGATGATGGGTATTACGAAAATAGTACTTGTTAACCATGTTAATCACCATGTATTAATTGTACTTCATTATCAGTATGTACATCATGTAAAGATCCTACTTATCAATCAGGAACATCTTGCGAATGTTAGGCAACTTATTTTATGAATGCCTCTTTTATGTGTTAAAGTTGTGTAGCACCTTGTTAAAATGTACTTCATTATCAGTATGTACATCATGTGTATCAAATTATTACATATCTGGAAATACATGTATTTAATGTACTTCACCATGTTATAATTGTGTTGATCTTCCTACAAAATGTACATCATGTGTTAATACAAATATAACACCAATCAATAACATATGTAGTGGTTGTACTGATGGATATTTCATGGATTCATCATTAATATGCCAACCTTGTATTTATCCTTGTATTAAGTGTTAAACAATAGGTAACTATTGTTTACAGTGTGCAATTACATTTGAAATGAGTACCACTACTCCAAATACTTGTGTTTGTCCTATTCACAAATATCTAGTAGTAACTAATAATCCTACTGATTGTCAGTCTTGTACATGATACATGTTCAGGAACAGCAGTTCATTGTTTAACATGTATAGATACTAATTAAACTGTTGATGGAACTAACTAATGTTAATGTAATTCTGGTTTTGTTATGGATGGAGTAAACTGTATAACATGTCTAAATCCTTGTTTAGAATGTTTAGGAAGTGCAAATTACTGTACTGAATGCAAAGATATACAACATTATGAATCTAATGGACAATGTATTTGTAATCCTGGTTACATAAATGATAATAACTATAATTGCATATTTTGTTAAGATCCTTGTTTAACTTGCTCAGTAAATGATACTCATTGTGATAGTTGCACAGATGCTAATCATTAGATTAATGCATCTTTTTAATGCATTTGTAAGGACACTTTCTATTCAAATGCTATTGATACTTGTGCATCATGTGTATAACCATGTTTATTATGTGACAGTAATGGATGTTTAACATGTATTGATACTAATTAAATAATAAATTCTTCTAAGAATTGCATTTGTAAACCAGGATATTATGAAGTAGGTTTATATTGTTCATAATGTGTAATACCATGTTAAACATGTGAAATTAATTAAAATCATTGTTTAACATGTATAGATACTAATTAAACTCAAATCAATAATTTATGTATATGCAATGATGGATATTTTGATATCAATCATATTTGCTACCAATGCTAATCTCCTTGTGCAAAATGTTAATTTTCAAATGATCATTGTCTATCATGTTTAGATTCTAATCATGATTTAATCAATAATAAATGTGTATGTAAATATGGATTTGGATAATCAGGAACTAATGGAACAACTTGTTCACTTTGTTAATTCCCATGTCTTGATTGTTCAACAAGTGTGAATACATGTCTCTCTTGCATTGATACTAGTATATTTCACCTTGATAATGACAAATGTTTATGTTAATAAGGTTATTTTCTGTTTGGAACTAATTGTGTATAGTGTTCATCATAATGTTCTTCATGCATTGATTAATCTAATAAATGTTTAGTATGTTCTGATCCCAATAAAGTGTTGAATCAAAATGCTTGTTTATGTAAATAAGGTTATTTTTTAAATAATTTGATAATATGTGAACCATGTTAACTTCCTTGTCTAACATGTATATCTAATTAAAATTATTGTACATCTTGTTTTGATTCAAAAATACAATAAGTAATTGGAGGATAATGTATATGTATAGATGGATATTATATTTTGGATAATAAATGTGAAAAATGTAATCAGATATGTAGTAAATGCAATTCATATAATGATTGTACTGAATGTATAGATGGATATTATTAATAAAATTAATAATGTTTAAAATGTTAAACACCTTGTTTATCATGTTATGATGAATATACTTGTAAAACATGCACTGATAATTATACTATGAATAATCTTGGAATTAATGTATTTAAAATTGCAGAAATTGCATTGATTCAATTAATTGTATTAATTGTTTTGATAAATTTTATTATGACAATTAATCTTGTATTCCATGTTCTGATAAATGTTAAACATGTGAAAATGATTCAAATTATTGTACTTCTTGTAAAAATACTATTCAAGTATTAATAGATAATTAATGTTATTGCAAAGATGGTTATTTTGAAGATGGTTAAGATTGTAAACCTTGTGATTAAATGTGTAAAATATGTAAAAGCTTATTATTTTGTGATGAATGCATTAAATAAGATCATGTTGTTTTATTAATGAATTTATGTGTTTGCGAAGATAATTATTATTTAAATAATAAATAATGTTAATTGTGTGATAAAAAATGTAGAACTTGTACTTAAAAATCTGATAATTGTTTAAGTTGTAATTCTTAAATGAATAGATTACAATAGTAGAGCAATTGTATTTGCTAGAATGGTTATTTTGAAAATGATAATAATGATTGTTGGCCATGTAATTCAGATGAAGGAAAGGTCATTAAATAATGTAAATACTAAGATTGTAATGATAAAGTGTGGACATAGGAGGAAGAATGCGATGATGGTAATAATGATTCTAGGGATGGTTGTACTAATTGTAAGATAGATGAGTAATATTCATGTATAAATGTTCTCCTTTAACCATCATTTTGCTTCAAATGCAGTGAAAACTGTTAAGAATGTTAAATAAATGAATCTAAAAATTAATCCGCATGTATTAAATGTCAGCAAGGTTATTTTTTACTTTAAGATATATGTATTTAATGTGCTGAAAAATGCTTAGATTGCAAAATTAGTGCCTCTAATTGTATAAGTTGTAAGTACTAATAAAATGAATAAGGAGAATGTTAATAATGCCAAAGTGGTTACTATTTTAATTAAATTAATAAAAGATGTTCTTCTAGATGTGGTGATTCATTTAAGACAGTAGAAGAAGAGTGTGATGATGGTAACGTATAATCAGGAGATGGATGTGATGAACATTGTAAAAAAGAAAATAAATTCGTTTGTAAGGATGGAATATGTATAATTCCAGAATATCCTGTTCCAATATTATTGAGCTATGGTGATACTTAATTGTATAATAAAGTCAGAAGTTTTAAATTAGAATATAATTTATTTCTAAATATCTCTTAAGATAGTTTGGTAGAAAAAATGATCAAATTATTCATAAAGAATTAGATGACTCTAAGTCTTATTGATTGCCCATATGTCTTATAAACATAATATACTTTGAATAATTAATCCAAAATTAATTTTTCAATAGATTTCTAAATTTTCTTTAATCGAAGTACAACAAAGGAAGAGCTTTTAATCCAATATCTTAATCCTTCACTTTTTATTTCATATCAAGGATATAGTATTTTGCTAAAATTTATAAATTATTCCCATAAATATTATCTGAAGTTTCTACTATCATTCCAGACTATATTTTCATAGATTAAACAGAAGCAACTCAAGTAGAAATGGCTGCATCTAGTAATTAGATATTATTGTATATTATGGCTACCATGGCTGGAGGAGCAATTTTACTTGGTGGATTAGATATTTTTTATAATCTATTAGATACAATATAAATGTTATCATACTTAAAGTACATTAACGCTTAATATCCTTTTAACTTAGAATCATTTTTTGATTTTTTTGGTTTTGCATAACTCAGCTTTTTCTCGAAATATTTGAATCTTTAAGAATTAATTGATCCTTATATTGTTTATGATGATCTTTAACAAATACCTAAAAAGATCTAAATTGATGGTTTAAATTCTCTGTTTATCATAAATGGATCATCAATACTATTTGTATGGCTTACACTTCTAGCAGTTTATATATTCTCTAAGTATTTACCACATTTATTGTATGAAATTAAATTAAAATATTATAATGAAATACCTGGATAATTCGATTTTGCTCTAAAATGTAAATTTTGGATCTTGGCTCTAAAAATATTCATTATTCAATTATGTTAAACAGTTGTATCGGAATTCTTCTATAGTGGTATTTTAAGGACATTTTTTGCTACCGCTTATGATTATTCATTTTCAATGACCCTTTAGCTTTTTGCTTTAGAGTTGGATTCTTAAAATGCTCTTGTAAGATTCAGTTCCTTTTTATCTTTAATAGCATTAGGAATCTATTTATTTACTATTTATATTATTACTAGAAAATGTGGAAGCCATAAATTCTCTATTGAAGAATATTCATATAAACTAAAATTCATGTCACTTTTTGAAGGGATAAAAAATGATAATTATACTAAATATTTTTAAGCCATAAGTCTGATCAAAAAGTTATTATTTATGCTTATTCTTATATTTTGTTATCAGTAGCCTTATTTTCAAGTGTTCAATTTAGTTCTTCTGTCTATTTTAGAGATAATATGGTTAATTCTTTTCAAACCACTAGAGGATTTGAATGAATTTTTAAAATAAATTTCATGTGAGATTAATAAATCTATTACACTATTTTTTATTTCAGCATTAGTTTTAGATTAAGAAGTAAAAATCTTTAGTGAAAATTCCCGATCAATTATTGGATGGATATGCATAGGAAGTATAAGTTTAATTTTGGCTATTTAATTAATAATTGATGCTATATTTAGTAATGGATATTCTTAATCAAAAAATACAAATAATTCAGAAGACTTGTAGAGAAATTCTAAAGATTTTTGCGTCCTTAAAAATCGCATGCGGATCATTCAATATTTATATTAGATAAGTGATATATCTTTTATATTTGTTTGTTAATTAAAATGTGTTATAATATTAATATTATTATTTTAGATTAAGGTATTACCATATGAATATTTATCATTAAAATTTTTAAATAATAGATGATTATACTTTCCTCATTTTTGTATTTTAATTACTTTTATATAAAATCCAAGTTACCATCTATCATTGATAATTTTATTCCACCATTTAAAAAAAAATATAAATTTACAAAAGTAGCATTTAAGTTCTTGATACAATCTTTAAAACCTAAAATCTATATTATTTATATAAATATATTATATTAAATCTATGAAACTATTGTTCATTTGATAATATAAATTAATACAGTCACATCATTTTTATAAGTAATCTCTGTATTTGGCTGTTAATCCCCATATCCATATCATATCATTCATATCAGGTATATCATTATACTTTTCAAGTATCTAATTACATGAGAAGTGAGCCTTAAATGCTTTCAAAACATCACAAAACTATTTCGTCACAACATTAGTTTCTTAAATATCATATCCATATTTTTTTAAATGCCGAGATAGAAAAAATATACTTACCATCTCAGGTAATGGTTCTTCAGGATTATATTTCTTAATCCCGTCAATAGTCTATTCTTCTTTTGTCAACCATGCTCCAATACCATAATTTGAATAGAGTGTACCCCAAGGAAATAGAATTCCTGGATCAATTTTCCTATTTGGAGCTATATCTGAATGTCCAAGTATACAAACTGGAGATATGTTGAATTTTTGTATTATCATTCTACATAACTATGCTAATGCAATAATTTGTTAATTATCAAAAGGAACGAATTGATTTTATTTATTAACTCCTTCACTCACAAGCTCTATCCCAATAGAATTTTCATTTAAATAAGCCACGTTTTACCATTTGCTAATCCCAGCATGCCATGCTTTTTTTTCTTCAGGTACTATTTGAATTATTTTTCCGCTTGGGATTTGAAATTATTATTCTTATTAAGTGATTAAATATGTAGAACTAACAGCACCAACATCTGAATCTCTAGTAAATACTTCGAGAGTTCTATATAAGTTTATAACTGTGTAGTGAATAATAAGTGCAGTTATCGGAGTGGAATCACCATTTAATCTATCATTATAATGATTTTTATTCTTTTCAGGAAATCTTGGA